GTTATGTTATAACACCATATCATAAAACCCCTATCCCTGTCACTTCCTCCACCCCTCCAAATAATAATAAATGAAACAAACCAGAAAACTAATACAGTACAGTACAAACAAGTGAATAAATAAACTAAGACAGGACTAAGTAATGGTGAACCCCAACAATAAAGATGGCACATGGGTTGTAAACAAAAACTAACTGAAGGGGAGAATAGCTTTAAAGGCTTCCTTGAAAAGTTCCATTTTGAGCAGTTTTAAAAAAAAGCTTTGTAGGGAGAAGGCCAGCCAGATCTCTAAATGGAGGCCATTCCAAAGTGCTGAGGCCACCACCAAGAAGGCCTGACTCCAAGTTGAAGACTCCCTTGCCACTCTTGATGTGGCCACCCGCAACAGTGACACCTGTGAGGATCAGGTAAAACGAGCAGCAGTTCTATGGGAGAAAGGCTTCAACATGTAACAAAGTCCCAAACTGTTAAGGGCCTTATACATTAGAACTGACACCTTGAACCTGGCCTGGGAAGAGACAGGCAACCAATGTAAGTGAATCAGGATCGGGAATGTATGGTTAAATTCTCTTATTCCAGTAACCAGCCTGGCTGCTGCATTCTGTACCTGCTGCAATCTCTGGGTCAGCTTCAAAGAAAGCCCCACACAGAGAGCATGACAGTAGTCAATCCTTAAGACTTCCAGCACATAGACCAATGTTGCCACGGACCTCCCATCCAGGAAGGGACATAACTGAGCAATCTGCCAGATCTGACATAAGGCAGACCTAGGTACAACTGATATTTGATGTTCCATAGAAAGGGATGGGTCTAGGATCATTCCCAAGTTGCGCTCTTGGTCCCTGAGGTGGAGGGAAACACCATCCAACCTAGGGATAGTTCCACCCAACTGGTCAGAAGGATCCCCTCTCCCAAAAGTCACAATCTTGTCTGAGTTCAGTTTAATCCTGTTAAGTCTTTGTCCACCAAAAACTTGTAGCCAGGTAGTGCTCAAGGACCTGGATGGGATCCACTGCAGAAGATGTGAAGGATGCATGTTATCAGCATACTGATGGCAACACACCCCAAAACAATGCCCTTGATACAATGCATTTCATACAGTTTTCATAGCCTCCAAGACCTGCAGTTCTGAAAAAGGAACTCCCCTCCCATTTGAAATCAATGGCATCAGGTGGTTTCCAAAAACTTCCGCCCACACCCAGAAACTCTAAATTACAGACAAACAGGGATCTTTCTAGTGTGGCAGGGAAGCAAACTAGTGGCAGAGGGAAATTGGAACAATGAAGATGAATAGGTGAAGTTGGCTTGGGAAGCTTCCAAGTTTCCTGGCAGGAGTATAACAATTTCCTCATGGTTTCCTTCTAGCATCCAGTACTTGGAAATAAAAAGAAAATGTGTGTTAAGTCATCATCCTTGGTTGTGGTTGTGTCAGCAGTTGTTGTGTGACTGTATAAGTTTGCATAGTTGTGGGATCAGTGTTTGTATACATGTAAGAAAGATAAGACAATGTAATCTGTTATAAAAATATTTTATATGCTAATCTGTGATTGTACATTTCATAATGCAATACAGACCTCAATCTAATTGCTAGTCCCAAATAGAGCAAACCCACTGCCTCAATGTGATTTACATAAATCACCTCTGAGCAGTTGATTTCATGGATTTAGTTTGGTTAGGCTTTCCAATCTGATAAGGTCAAATTCTGCGGCTTGCCACATTTTCCTTGAGTTACCTGCTCTGGACATATATCTTCCTGCTCTCTGATTCTGACACTATTGTAGCCTGCATTGACCTGATATCAAAGTGTGGATGGCAGTGGTTGATGAAAGGGGCCTGTTTTCTCATGAAAAAACTTTGGTCTTGGTCTCCTGACATGACATCCTCCTTCCCTGTGAGGGACTCAGCAGAATGTGGACTTCCAGTACCTCACTGTGGGAAGACATCAACAGCTGTTGGATTGAACCAGAGCTTATTTGCATCCCAACAGCAGGTCACAAACCACATCATAGGGCATCTTAACAACAACCAATAAAACATGGCCATTTAGTGAAGATGTGGGCCAATGATGGTCTCCTGGACTGTCACTTTTAGTTCCTTTCACGACTGCCTATGCCAGCTGGAACAGCATGCATCTGGAGAGCCACACTTTTAGCTGTTCCTTTCACGACTGCCTATGCCAGCTGGGACAGCACGGAGAGCCACACTTTTAGCCCCCTGATTTACAGAACAGAGGCTGGAATTTGAATTCCCAACCTGAAATTTGAATGCCTGCACATTCTTTAGCTGCAGTTTTCTTCCCTTGGCCCAATCCTTTTCTATTGAGGCTCATGCTAATCCCCATGCTGCTATACTCCTTAAACCAATAAAAGATTAGAGTGACATTTCAGAAAGGGCATCACATTAAGCAGCAGCTTTCACCATCTCAACAGATCACACAGTGCAAAACACAGTCAGCGAACAGCCCATTAATCTTATGGTAATGAGGTGTCATTCCAAATGGAGACCTCCTCCTTGATCAATATGAAGGGCACAGAAATAACGAGGACACTGATGCTCAGCGCTGCGGGTAACTTTGCCAGGAAGGAGAGGACCCATAAAATCCTGTGATATTAGAAACCCCTTGTCACCAGCACATTCTGCTATCAACAATAGGGAGCAGGCACCAGCTCTGATCTGTCACCCCCATGTGTTGTCCACAACTAATCAGCCTTCCCCTATGTTCTAATTAGTGGCGTAAAACTGCTGTAACAACTCTGCCTTTGCTATAACATGGAATCAATTAGGATTAGCTGCAAAATAAAGAGTCTGTTTTCATGGCTATCCCACCAGGCTGTAATCACTGGTGAAAGTAACCAACAAACCCCCTTATGATGGGTAGACAGACGAGCTAAGACCTAATGATTGACCTTTCTGTTCCAGTAAAGAGCTGGCTGAAGCCAGCGTGCCGCCTAATTAGTCAATACACCACCGGCCTGGAAAAAAACTGCTGAATGAGTTTGCTTCCACTCTGCTGCACAGACCACAGCCTTCTAAAAGGAACAGACAGCAGCTCCAAACTGAGTTAATTACCCACCCTGCCTTGTTTCCGTTGTATTTTTTGAAAATCACATGAAGAAAGCAGTTTCCTGTTTCTCCATATATAAAATTCAACTTTTAAAAGTTTATGGTGTTAGGGCAATAGGATCGCTTTTAAAGAGAAGATACAATCTCGGCTTCCTCTGGGGCAACAGAAATAACCCATGACTACAGACAGGATATGTGATGAGAAACAGCAGCTAACAAAAATGGACTTTTTATTACAGGCAGTGTGATTAGAGTCTTATGTTATGATTCAGAAACTTGGGTTCAAAATCCCTATGCAGCCATGGAGCTCACTGGGTGACCCTGGGCAAATCACATCCTCTCAGCCTGATCTACCTCATGGAGCTGTTGTGCAGAAGAAGGAAAGAAGAGAGTCAAGAATACTGCCTTTATATCGTTGGTAGGATATAAGTGTAACATGTCATCATAATATTTCCAAACAAGAATTTTTGTTATGAAAACACACTGTCTTATTCACAGAAGTTCAACTTGTGACCCTCCTGTGTTTTCTCACGGGCTTCTGTTAGCCAGCTTTGTATTTTTTTAATCACACACAATTATTTGAGGTTGAAAAGAGAATGTCTTTTGACAAATAGACACACACGTGGTTTGTTTGAGACCCCCCCCCTTATAGCTGCTGCAAGTATATATTCTTCCCACATTGATTGTGTTAATTTTAAACAACAAACATGAATTGGCTTGAATTTTAACTGTTGACCTGGATTGTATTATGTTGCTATTTTTATGAAATACAACATGTAAAAATGGCTAATCCAGAAAGGCTGCACAGAAATGTTTTAATAGACAAAATAAACATATTTGATACTTTATTGTTCTTCTTTCCAAGAATGCAGATTTCAAAGGTGTTGATATACTATATAATTCCACAAGTGGGCTACAGTCCACAAAGGTAAAGGCAAAGGTTCCCCTTGACATTTTTAGTCCAGTCCTGTCCAACTCTAGGGGGTGGTGCTCATGTACCAAATAAACCTTCTTAGTCTTTAAGGTATCACACAATACATAGTTGGTTCTAATGAATATACCACTCTCACGTTACAGGTGAAATATGCACTCATGGCAAAGGGTAATGTGTAAATAATCTGCTCTTAGGGTTTGATCAGATAGTGTTAAAGGATCATGTCTGATCGAGATGGAAAGTGTTGCTTCGCTTGGAAAGATCTACCTCAAAGCAACACTTCCAGCTCAGCTCCAGCAGCCCTGCTGCTGGACCAAAAAGGTCCAACATGGCAGGGCTGGGCGGGGTCGCAATCTCTTTTATGTCCTCTGATCACAGGAAAATAGCTTGTAACAGACTGCCACAAATGGTCCAATACATGAGCTATTTCTCCATCTGATCACAGCCTCAGTGGCTGGAAATGGACCTCGATAAATGGTTTCGTTTGGTGTTTTCCAATTCACATTTTGTGGGTGTGGCTTGTTTTCACTTCTGAAAACTCATCTATTACTATTTGTCCTGCAAGCAGCTTTTGACAATATACCTGTGTTCTTTGTGTATAGAAGTAATAATGTTTGATCTGTGGAGGATGCCAGGGATTTTATTCCTTATTTATCACTTGCCTTTCTGCCCCAAAGGTAAATGGCTACATCTTGTATTAAAACACTAAAACAGCCTCTTGGGACATAATTTGAACCAAAAGAAGAGTAACAGAAAAAAAAGACTATAAAAATACTGAATTTTGTCTTTTTCATAAACTGAATATTTTAGAAAAGCAACAGTTTCTTTTTGAATTTTTCCCCATCTGCATCTTTTTCCAGATAAGATAAAACATAATCAGAAACAACAACAACAAAATTAGACAAACACTTGTCAGTGATATAGGTTTTTAAGCAATAAATAACATGAAACAATCTGGTTTCACTTACTAAAGGACCTCCCCCCCTTTTAGCCAGTTGACTTACCTGTATATAGTTGTGGGAGGAGAATTCAGTGTGTCATAGATAAGCCTCACATGACCTTGGTATAATTCTAAAGCCAGAGGATCATTATCCCCTTTGTATAATAAGATGCCGTTGTCTTTATCTGTTGCTACCTTTGAATGTCAACAAAAAGATCAATGATGATACAGAAGCAAAGTAAAGGTGTATACACAATAATTTCTGGATCCCTATAGTAACTATTATTTCATGTGTAGTGCAAAATGAGTGGATGTTATGGCATTTGTTTCAATGTCATTGCAACTGACACTTTAGTGAAAAACTTCCAGCTCATTCATTGGTTTATTTGTGCTGTTTTATCAAGAGCACTAGAGAGAATTTCAACAGGTGGATCTCTCTGTGCAATGGACATCAGGATCCAAATCACAGCTATATGGACATTTGCTAGCATGAATGCTCCTAATGGCAAATAAACAGAATACTCAGTGCTTTGCATAACTAGAAAAACATCTACATGGAGAGCCATTGCTCATGTCAGTTTCAAAGAGGGAAGTCTGTGAACATATGGAGCCTGGAATGTACATCAGAAGTGATTTAATGCATCTAAGGATTGAGCTAAAAATCTTGAGTTTGCTTGTTTTTATAATTTACAGCCAACCTTCTTGATTACAATGCATCCAGAGCAGCTAACTGAACTCTTTCAGTTTCTCTGCTGAAGACCTGTTTTATGTTTACATCATATTTTCCTTCTTCTATAGTTCAACATAGCTTAGAAACAAAACTGCTACATGTAACACAATAAGTTCTATAAACGTCAAGTGTAGATTACTTATAAAAACAGAATTTATCAAATGAAGGCAATAGAATGAGCAAGTTGTTAAAAAGGAGAAAAATCTGGTACCAACATGAACAAAAAAGGGTTGCTTTGGAGAGAACTGGCAAAGTGTGACCACACAGCTGTTTTTTCCTTCATATTAAAATGTTTAAAGAAGGGTTTTAAAAGCCTGAATAACATAACATGCAGATTAGAAAAGTCACTTTTCTGGATGAAAGCTGGTGGGTGGTGGTATATATATCTGTTACAGTCCAAATTATGGATATGCCATATGGGGTTTTTAACCCCATAATTCTCCATCTTGGAAGTCGCCCTAACAGACTACTTGTGAATCACCTTGGAGAAAGGCCTAATCGGGAAGGCTTTGTGGCCTAGTTCCACCCAGGCTTACCTGTTCAGAAATGAAGCTCCCAGCTAGCATTGGGGTAACTTCCTTTCTGAACAGGAAGTTCAGGATAGAGCTAGGCCTAGTTAGGCCACAAAGCCTTCCAGTTCAGGCCCTTCTCCCAGGTGAGCCAAGATTTGATGTCTGCCAGGTGGAACTCTCAGGATGGAGACTTACTGGATTCATAGCCCTAAACATCAAAATAGCACATTTCTAGTGCAACTGCTTTCCTACCAAACTCTGGTAATACTAATGTTACTAATTTGTTACTTAGGAAGCATATCTTTATTACTCCTAGGGGGTCTCATGGACAGCAGTAGCATTGGAAGAAGGCCTATTCATTGCTTCCATTTACATGGTAAAGGTAATCCAACAGACTCTATGTTTTGATTAACCAAGTTCCACACAAATTTTCAAGGACATCCATTATAGCTTTATGTAAGCGCCTTGTAATGTTTCAGATAATTACATATACACCCCATATGTAGAGTCCATAGTTATGAAGTAGCTACCAAAAACAAATGTTCGTTCCAATTATTTCTGCAGTCTGCCAGAGTGATCTTTAAATTACAAGGAAAATGGCAATATTTAAAAACCAAATATTCACATTTACATTTTTAAAAATATCAAATGAAGAACTCCCAGGTTCCTAAATGGAAGTTACTTTTTATTTTATTTATCAGTTCTTTTCACTAACAAGAGCTCCTTAACCATATTTGAAAAGATGCTTAGTTTCAATTAATTCTTTACTTGAGTGGCAATTAACTACCAGATGGAGAAGCAATATTTTAACTGCAAAATAAGCTTTTAGAACACCATCTGTGTGAAATCCATGTAGTAAACAAGTCTGGATGTCATGTTATGATCCAAAATATACTTTTGTCCTGAATGTGTTTTCCGAACCAAGCCCCAAATGTGGCTTGTGCAACTGAATGTGCCTGAGCCACAACTCACATGAACATATTTTGTTTCTCTGTGTAGGCAGTCCAGTGAGAATGAAGCCAGGCTGGTGTGTGTGTGTGTGTATGTGTGCGCGCGCTAAAAGTGTAAAATATCAATTTGATTCTCTATTTTTTGGCTTTTTGCATACTGAGTGAGGTAAAGAATCATGGATACCCATTAGAATGGGGGACAAATAAAAAAACAAACTGCGATATTCGTGAGAATTCACTCATTTGTGGAATATCCATACCTTTGTATTTGTCAATTCCAGAGACCTCAACTAATACGAAGGGATGTATATTTAGCCATTTTTACTTGTCCCCCACCCCTTCAAAGATTGCTGCCTTGTCGTGGTGAACGGGCTTGAGTAATTCAGAGAAGCTATGGGCTATGCTGTGCAGAGACACCCAAGATGGAGAGGTCATAGTGGAGAGTTCTGACTAAACACCAACCACCTGGAGCAGGAACTGGCAAGCCACTCCAGTATCTTTGCCAAGAAAACTCCATGGACAGAAACAAAAGGCTAAAATATGAAGCTGGAAGATGAGCCCCTCAGGTTGGTAGGTGTCCAACATGCCACTGAGGAAGAGTGGAGGACAAGTACAAGTAGCTCCAGAGCTAAGGGTTGGGCCAAAGCTGAAAGGACGTTCACCTGTGGATGCACCTGGAAGTGAAAGGAAAGTCTGATGCTGCAAAGAAAAATACTGCATGAAAACCTGGAATGTAAGATCTATGAACCTTGGTAAGCTGGATGTGGTCAAACAGGAGATGGCAAGAATAAACATTGACATCCTGGGCGTCAGTGAACTAAAGTGGACGGGAACGGGCAAATTCAGACGATTATCATATCTATTATTGTGGGCAAGAATCCCATAGAAGAAACTGAGTAGCTCTCATAGTCAACAAAAAAGTGGGAAAAGCTGTACTGGGATATAATCTCAAAAAGGATAGAATGATTTCAATACGAATCCAAGGCAGAACTTTCAACATCACAGTAATCCAAGTTTATGCACCAACCACCGACGCTGAAGACTGAAATTGACCAATTCTATGAAGACTTACAACACATTCTAGAACTGACACCAAAGAAAGATGTTCTTCTCATTATAGGAGATTGGAATGCTAAAGTAGGGAGTCAAGAGATAA